CCCCCCAGCTCCTTACTTCTCCATCTGTGTCCAGTGTCCACAGTCCTTAATGTTTCCCCTTTTCAGGTGGGGGATCTGAAGGACAATGGAAGAACACACCTGGGTTTGCTTTCACGTCAGCGTGACACACCCCAGAAAGCACATGGGAGGGGTCTCCTGCCGCCCCAAGCTACCCTAGAGCACCCCACGTCACTAGAAGGAAAGGGACAGTGCGCCAGCTGTGAACATGGGCAGCCTCTAGCCGACTCTCCCATCTGTCTGGACACTGTGGCCTCCGCTGCCATCATCTCCCCTCTGGGTCCCCGCGCCGCCTCGGTGGACCCACGGGTGATGCTCGTGTCCTCACCCAGTCCTCCATGTTCTTGGACATCTGAGGGGTGAGAACGAAGTCCTTCTCCGCGGTGACCATCAGGGCTGGAACCAGGATCTGGAGAAGAAAGCAGGTAAAGGGGAAGGCAGCACACCACCACTACAGACCAGGCAGGGAGAGCAGCGTGCGGGTGCGCCTGGAGGCGTCCCCCGCTGGAAAGACCCTCGCTATGCCCGTCGCCGTGGCCCAGGTGTGGCCTCTGTCAAACACAGCAGGAAGGAGCCAGCGGCATGGTTCACACTGGATTTGTACTGTAGTGATGGGCGTGCATGTGTGTGCGTGCGTGCGAGTGCATGCATGCACATGTGCATGGAGCGGCCAGGACAGCTATTTTTGTGTTACCAGTAGAAGCAGAAATGGGCTTTATTTCTATTTCCTAGAGCCTCCATGGGCTCTTAACTCCTTCCCTCTCTCCAATCCTGGGGACTGAATCCAGGGCGTTAGGAATTTGGGACTTTTGTCAGCTAGGCAAGTACTCTACCACTGAGTAACATCACAGCTCTTCTGTAGACTAGGCCCAGGCCAGCTTGCTTCCTAACCTGCTTTTAAAGACTGTTACATGCTGCCTCAGGACCTTTGTTAGTCAGGATCTGCTCTCCTCTGTGGGCTGCTCATCCCCACGGCCTAGTGTGCTGTCAGCACACAGCACGCACCATCACTCGCCTGGACCAAACCGAGTTGATGCGGGCACTGGAGCCCAGGGAGCCTTGGCTACTGTACTACCTTTGTGGGAGAGAACGCACTTTGCCTCTGGTGCTTAACACTGGCAGTGTGAAAGGCTTCCCTGTATAGACCCAGCGGTCTGGACACCCACCACCTGCTCAGCAGAGGAAGGTGAGAGCCACAGGCACAAGCCAAGGCCTTGTGTATCTGAGAGTGCTCGACAGGCCTCTATACTTGGGCTCCATGCTACCCCAGAGTTACCCTGACACATCTGCTGTCCTTGCCGCACCACTGCCAAGAATTCTGGGCTTCCCAAATGATGCTGCACTGTCCCCGGTGCCACGCACCATCATCCCAGGAGGAGGTGCTGAGGAAGCTCCCACGGGAAGTCTGTCCCAACCCCAAATGGAAAGGACAAAGTAGGCAGGACTGCGCAGCCCCGCTGAGGCCTGAGGCCACGCCAGGTGGGGTCAAAGGGAGATGAAAGGCATCTTAGAGGAACCCAGCATTCACCTTCCGTCCAGCACCTCTGCAACCCCACTTCCAGTTTCGTTCCATGTTCCGGTACCAGTTTAGGGGACCTCTGAAAGTGCATGAGAGAATAGCACAGGTGAGCTTCGAGGGGCTGACTATTCTGTCCCTGCAAAAGAGCTCCATCATCCCTGGGAGGTGCTCCATCATCCCTGGGAGGGTGCACCTTCATCCCTGGGAAGGCACTCATCCCTGGGAAGGCACTCAATCATCCCTGGGAGGTGCTCCATCATCCCTGGGAGAGTGTTCCACCATCCCTGGGAAGGTACTCATCCCTGGGAAGGCACTCAATCATCCCTGGGAGGGCGCTCCATCATCGCTGGGAGGGCGCTCCATCATCCCTGGGAGAGTGCCCCAGAGGGTGCTCCCTCATCCCTGGGAGGTGCTCCATCATCCCGGGGAGAGTGTTCCACCATTCCTGGGAAGGTACTCATCCCTGGGAAGATACTCATCCCTGTGAAGGTACTCAATCATCCCTGGGAAGGTACTCAATCATCCCTGGGAAGGTACTCAATCATCCCTGGGAAGGTACTCCATCATCCCTGGGAGGGTGCTTAGTGCTTTGAGGGGGCAGACCAGGGCCAAAACTCATGCCTTCAGTCCACACCCACCAAACTACACTGAGTAGGCCAGGTACAGGGGTGGAGGGCCCCACCACAGTGCCTGAAGTCATCAGAGAGGCTCAGGACACATTGAGGCCAGGGCCACAGGGTCATTCTTGGCCTCTACTGATGTGTTGGAGGGTGAAAGAACCAACATTAGCCCCTCACCAATGAGCCACTCTCTGGAAAGGGACCCTGGGAAGTGGTGCAAAGGTGTCCAAATATATGTAGGCCTCGATTTACCTGGAGTTTTGTATCACTCTGAAGACAGAACTCAGAGCTACCATTTGATTCACAGAGCAGTAGTGACTCGAGAGCAATTTACAACTTCTGTCTTTTGTGGATGGATTATAAAATGCAGCGAGCTGGACTACCTCAAACCCGGGCTGTACCCCACAGGTAGGGAGTCATCCGACACTGGAAGCGATCAAGCCAAGGCTGGCCTGGCATTCTGGGGACCTGAGGTGAAGGAAACTAGAAATCCCTCCCTGCCAGGCCTCGAGCCCTGTCCCCTCCGTACCTGAATCCAGTCTTCTTAAACTGTTGGATGTAGAACTGGATTTCTTCCTCTGTGACTAGCTTGCTGAGGCTGGGGTCTTCTGGAGTCTTCACAAAGAGGCCTCCTGAAAAAGCCACTTGTTTCCTCCTGTCCGCAGGCCCAGGTTCCAAGCTAGCGTCCTCAGTAGCTGAGACTGGGCACCTGTGTGCTCCCACCTCCCACCCAACATGCCCACGGCAGCGGCCCACGCACCACATGCAGTCGCTGCTCTGGCCACGCCACGGTGGGCACACACTGCTCCCAACACATGCCTACTGCTCAGGGCGACACGATTTCAGCCAGGCCCTGCAGCCGCCACCTGCCAGGCTCCCTCATGCTAACCTTCTTCAAACAGCTGAACACATTTTGCTCAGCTCTCAGAATTCTTGTAGGTGCTTTCTGGCTTGGTGCTTCCTCTTGGTCAAGAAGAGCATCCAGATCAGAGGACCAGAGGCTGCGGGCTCTGCATGCCCACAGACCTTCCCATCCCCATGGAGGTGGGACCCCGTGTCATCTTCAGAGGTGTGCTGTGTCCTGCCAATAGCTGGTCCACCCTCCCAGGGGGTGACTGCTGCCCACTCAGGGACAACGTAGCTTCCAAGGGAGCCACCTGGGCCACTAACCCTGTGCCTGAATGGAGCCCGCCCGCCATTTTCAGTTAGAGGAAGAGGCATTCATATACCAGCATGCTTTAGAAGGCTCTTACCCATTTCAGTGACTTTGTGCACCGACAGAAAGCCCTGTTGGAAGAGGTCGAAAGGAGGTCATGGGTGAGTCCAAGCCAGGACACAAAAGGGGCCCTCTGAGAGCCCTCGGGTGTTCCTGCTTCTCTGTGGGTAAGTCCTGAGACCTCAGGAGAAACCGTGGATGGCATTGAACCCTCCAGGCTCACTACGTGGTCCCATACTTGCATAATGCTGTTTAATTCAGCACCGAGACACAGCAAGGTGGGGGTTTAACCCTGCAGAGTTAAACATGGAGCCCATAGCCAAAGCTCAGGCCCTGGCAGATCTTGGAGAGGAGATAGTCTGGAGCTCATCAAAAAGAGAACAAGAGACATGACCTCAGGAGGACCAGGGGGTAGAGATTATAAATAATACTTCCCACCACAGTTAAAAGTTGGAATAAAAGCCAGATGCTGATGACTCACACCTAGCTACTCAGGAGGCTGAGATCTGAGGACTGTGGTTTGAAGTCAGCCCAGGCAGGAGAGTCTGTGAGATCCTCATCTCCAATAAATTACCAAAAAAGCTGCAAGTTGAATGGTGGTTCAAGAGGTAGAACACTAGCCTTGAGCAAAAAGCAGCTCAAGGACAGTGCCCAGGCCCCAAGTTCAAGCCCCGGGACGGAAAAAAAAAAAAAAAAAAAAAAAGGTATAAAGAAAAATCTATCCATAATGACAGAGAAATATAAAGGAAGATATTTTTGAAAATAGATCCATTTCAGCTAGTTAACGAGATGAGACCAAAAAGATCTTCCCTAGGCGTCATCTGAATCTGCACAGTGCCCAGGACTGGAGGACCCCCAAGGTCGGAAGCAAACGACCCTGAATCCTGGAGGCCACACCACAGGTGCCAGGCAGAGGAAACGCTAAGCACATGAAAGGGTGATTTTCTCAGTCCAAACGGAGGTAAAGATTAAGTGTTGCTGAAGATGAATTCACAAACCAAGATGAAACACACACACAGATACACACAGTCCTATGAGAGACAGCAAACACATCGGTGAGGTGAGGGGTGACACAGGTCAGGGGTGAGGGCTTATGAAGTGAAGGTATTATAAACTCCTTCAGCATGCTAGAGCAGGGTTAGAGAGAGCAATTACTTCTGCTCTGGGGTAAATCAATTATGCACATTACAGTGGTAATCGTGCTAATAGACTAATTCCCACACGACTAGGCCGCTGAAATCACTGCTCACATCTCAGCCTGCGGTGACAGGGAAAGTGACTTTTCTCCAGTCACAACAGAATCTACTGACCACAGCGGCCAGACGAGGAGGCCCCACGGAAGGTTCCTGGCTCCTGCTCCATCCAGGGCCTCCTCTTCTGGCAGAGCAACCCCCCTCGCCCTCCTCCACACCCCGCCCCCCACGGCCTACCTCATCACTTGCTCGGAAGAAGCTTTTGAAAGTTCGACTCAAGTTTTGTTCCAATTCTGCCTCTGCCACTCCCTGAAACAGGCAAGAGCACCATGGAGGACCTTGGGGAGCTGTGCCCTTCCCCAAAGCGCTGACCGCAGCCGCAGGGCCCCCTGCCCCCGCCCCACCACCCCATCCACCGGCCCAGGTGTCATGAGAACCCTATGAGGTCGACTTTTTATTTTGAAACACATTAAAAACAACCAGAGGGGTTCGGGTGAATGTTTCCCTAAAGTCCTGCTACGAGACTGTTAAGGGGGGCTGCTGTAGGCTGACGTGGGGCTGCGGGGAGCTAAGTGAGAAGGACAATGTTGAAGGTCAAATGCAGCGCGAGTAAAGCTCTTGTTCACGTAACTTCAACATCCATGTCTGATTTGGGCCCAGGAGTGTGGACAAGGGCTTGATGATTGCAGATATATTTATATATCAGGAACATCTTACCCAGTTATTTCTTTAGCCTGTTTGTTGCAGCCCTGGGCTTTGAGCACAGGCCCGTCTCCCCTCCCCCTCTTCCCCATCCCCCCATCCCGTTCTCCCTGCTGGGCTGATGGACTTTCTGTGGGTGGACAGACTATTTCTCTTTGTGCTCACTACGTTTTTACTGCATCTCAGTGTCCTTTGCTCTTCTGGGGCCCATTTGAGAGCAAGCCCCTGTCCAGGCCTCTGCAGGGCCGAGCTCATAAGCAGCGGCCAGTTCTGCAGTGGGGACGGGGGTCATAAATAAGAAGCAGCGCCAGTGCGGATGACCCGCCCGGAGCAGGCGCACATCCATCACCGCGGCTCCGCCTCCAGAGCCCTGGCATCCATCACACGGCAGAAGGCTCCATTGATTCTCCATGGTACCGCATCTCATACTCAAAAACCCTTCCAAGCACAGATTCCGCACCACGGGTGATCCCTGTGGCCTTCCCTGCCCCGCTCCTGGAGGGGGTCCAGAGCGCTCAGGAAGAGCAAGGTGGCCTCCCAGAGCGAGCACGACCGTGGAGCTCAAGCTTTGGGGGCCTCTTCTCCACCCAGGACAAGTCACAGAGGCTGCCACCACTGCATCCGGGCAGTTAGGTGGCTCTGGGGCAGATCACACGTCCACAGCAGCAGTTATTCAGTGGTGGCGGGAGGAAGTGGCAAAGCCTGGAGAAGACTGTGTTTGGGACAGTGGTGGAAGGACACAGCTAGGAGAGTCAATGGAAAGGTTTCTCTGTGAGCAGAGTACTCATTCCACAAATACACCACAGCCTGGCTACGCGGGTGCCTGGGTGAATGCGTGGCTGGTTTGTGGGGGTCTGCATGGAGGAAGGGTCTTTACTCCTGGACAAGTCACTCATGAACTGCTATCTGTGTCCTTAATGGTAGCAGTGACACCCCACCCACCACATGTGCCACCCGTGGTTCAGGGCTGTGTTGGTGGTATCTGAGTGTACTTGGCAAACTTCCATACTTTTTTTTTTTTTTTTTTGCCAGTCATGGGGTTTGAACTTAAGGCCTGGAATCTGTCCCTGAGCCTCTCTGTGCTCAAGGCTAGCACTTTACCACTTGGGCCACAGTGCCACTTCCACCTTTTTCTGTTTATGTGGTGTTGAGGAATCGAACCCAGGGCTTCATACATGCTAGCCAAGCACACTGCCACTAAGCTGCATTCCAGCCCATTACCATACTCTTACAGAACATGTGGGACCTGCTGTGGGACTTTGTGGCCTTGGGTGCCAACACACAAAGCTCAGTTCTTAGTGAGCAGAGATTCCAGGTCCCTGGGGAGAGGCCAAGGGAGGCAGTGCCAAGCCAGCACCCACCCTGAACCCATGCAGTTCCACAGCAGCAGAAGCAACACACACACACACACACACACACACACGACCCACTGATCTCTGCAGCCCATGCATCAAGTCGATCTGAGAAATCATTTGTGACCAATGCCATGGACAATTAACGGGGATGGAACTAAGCCAACAGGAAGAGAAAGGAAGAGGAAAGGACAGTTATGTGGAAGCCACGGCCCTCGGCACCCCACACTTACGGGTTCTTGGAAGTAGAGCTGGTAGTTAAAAACTGGGATGTTTTTTATGACCTCCATGGGGTGTATGCTGGGATTTTCTGGCTTGTAGGGAGTGTTCACACTGGCCACTGCCCTGCAGAAGTAAGAGGCGTGGCGACAGGGCCCGTGAGAAGCAGCCTATGAAGACACATGTCAAAATGGACGCCGAGTGGGAAGTGATCTGTGATGGGTTTCAGGCGGGCAGTGCATGGGAAAGGAGGATGGGGACTCAGGATGTTTTTATTCCTAGCCCAGTGGGTTCGCTTTTGTTTTTCCCCATTTAGCATCTTCCCACCCCACCATGGTCAGGTGGCCTCTGTGACAACACCACAGCCAGGGAAAGAACGAGAAGGGGAGCTGAGAAGCAGAGGTGGCCTGGGCCTGAGGTCTCTGGGGGGAGGCTTTGCTTTCCCCTTGTGGAATGGTTTTTTCACTCGGGTCCTGATCATTTTGTCTCAATGCTAGCGACTAGGCCGGGAGTTGCTTCCTGAGAGATGAGCTCCGTAGGCCTTCCAAGTTAGTGGGCAGTGGAGGGCTCAACTTCCCACGCTCCCTTCCTGTCTTTGATATGTCTTCTGGGGTAAGAGATGGGGGCACACTTCTGTGGGAGGTTACCAAGTTCTTCTGGCTGTGGCCACCCACCTCACTCTCTCGGGGTAGAACAGAGCCATTTTCCACACCAGCACGCCAGCCCAGTCATGCCCAATGAATATGGCTTGTGGGATGCCCTGGATGAGGAGAGACCAGGGAGTGGGTAGGGTGGGGTCAGGAATGGTGCATGCACTGGAAAGACCCTCACTGGCAAGCCAGGGACTCCCCACTGACTCCCAGAATGGCATCCAGGACATCCACCCTCATCTAGCCTCAACCCCACACGTCTGCAGCCTCACACGCTTCTCACGAATGACCAAGGCTACGGGGCATGAGCTCCACCCCTCCACCTTCCCGCAAATGGAACTTTCTCCTTCTCTGAAGGAGAAATGATCAGCATTCACCCAGTGATTATGGTGGGCCCCCTGGGGACTCTCGTAGGTAGCCATGAAAAAGTCCAAAAGCTTCCTTATTCTCCTTCCTGAAGCCTCTGCTGAAGATAACAGCAGCTCCCCTTGACTGAGCTCCTCCTAGGAGCTGAGGGAAGGGTCTCCATCACACCTAGAACCTTCCATGCATCTTCAGTCTCCACTTTATAAATGGGAGGACAGGCTCTGGCAGGGAGGTGAGCTGCCTAAGGCCACATGGATGGCTGGTGGGAGAACCACAGTTCTGACCAAGTCTCCCAATAAAAGTAATTCTGTGCTGTCCTCTATTCCAGCGTGCCACCTGAGGGTCTTCTGGACCCTCACCATCCCCCTACTCCTCACGAGGGCTAGGGGAGCCCCGGCCCAGGCGCCTGTGAGGCTCCACACCTGTGCGTCCACACACAGACCTGACGGTGGTCTGTGCCTGTCAGCACCCTGAGGACCTCCCTGCAGCCAGACTTCTTCCTCGGGTCCCCCCCTCCGACCACTTCAACTACCAGCCACCCCAGGGGGCAGATGCTGCAGCTGTACCAGACAGTAACTTCCAGGGAAGGGCCTGGTGACCTGCAAGCTCCAGTTCCTCCATCTCCCTCCGTCCCCAGTCTGAGGCAGTCTCAGGTTGTTTGCAGTCATGTGATGAGTTGACTAAGGAATCCAGCCTGGGTGGCCAAAGCCATGCCCAGTGTCCCGTCCCCTTATGCACACCACCTCCAAGCCCAGTTCCATGGAGTGGCGACTATGCAGAGAGCAGACCCACCCTGCCGCTCCTCCCAGGCCTGGCACTATGCTGGCTCCCATGAACTGTTAACAAGCTCCAACCCTGCCTCTGGCTCTGGCTGCCCTTTTCCTCAGACATGGCTGACTGGGAAACTCCTTCCCCCTTTGCCCTGCACTGTCCACAGTACACCCCACTGAATACATGGAATTCTCCAAAGAGATTGACTATGAACAGTGACTTACCAACTTATCCAGGAAGGATACCATCTCCTAGAAAAGAAAACACAGACACCAATTCAGAAAGTGGAACTGGGTGGATACAATAAAATCGTATTTAGAGCTGGGTGCCAGAGGCTCACATCTATGGTCCTAGCTACTCAGGAGACTGAAACCTGAGAGATTGCGGTTCAAGCCTAGCCCTGAGAAAAGTTTGTGAGACTCCACCTCCAAGTAACCAGGAAAAAAGCTATGCTGAGACGGGGCTCAAATGGTAGAGCACCAGCCATGAGCAAGGATGCCAAGCAAAGCATGAGCTCCTTAGTTCAAATCCTGATAAGAGCACACACACACACAAAACATGTGTCTGCTATGCTGCAGTCACTCTAAACATGGGGGTACAGCAATGAGCAGAAGAAACAAATCTCAGTGAAGAAGAGAAAAGGAGGGCTGAGAAGGTGGCTCAGTGGTAGAGCGCTTGCCTTGCATGCATGAGGCCCTGGGTTCGATTCCTCAGCATCACATAAGCAAAAAGAAAAAAAAATAAGAAGAGAAAAGGAAAATCATAGTCCAAGGCCAGTGCAGGCAAAGGTAACTTGAGAACCTAGCTAATAAAACAAACAGTAAGGAAAAAGGCTGCTTGTGTGGCCCAAGTGATAGAGCACCTGTGTAGCAAACGGGGACCTGAGATCAATCCCCAGTACTGGAAAGGAGAGATGGAGAGATGGAGTGGACAGAATATGCTGTGTTAACCCCACCCCCTCCTCCAATCACAGTGTCCCCAGACCCGAGACCTCTTGGAGTCACTGATAAATTCCCAGGGTCCTCTCCCCATAAAAACACACATGGCACCCATGCCTCGAATTCCATATCTGAACACCACAGGTACCCCATCCTTTACACTCTCCAATGTACCAGAGAGGCTGGGGATAGCTAGCTGAGCTCACAAATGGAGGCCCATCTTCAGATCTGAAGGAGTGTAAAGGAGCCTGGGAGAGCATGTAGCCCTGCCCTTTACTGCATTCTGCAAGAGAGCATGACCTTCACCCAAGGTCATACACAGTGGCAGAAGCACTGGGTACAAAGCATTCTAGAAGATAGTGGTTCTGTGCTACAGTCCACCATTCCCAGTTTGGTCTTCTAAGTCTATGTATGTTCAGGTCTGTGGGTTCCATAAAGTTATCCATAAATCAAACACACACACACACACACACACACACACACACACACACACACACACACACACACACACACACACACACAGACCTCTGAACACCCAGGTTTAAGGGAGCCAAGCGATGAAGTCAACTGAAGTGTCCACATTAAATAGACAGATAAAGAAAATGGGGTATAGATATACAGAGAATACTAGTCAGACACTGAAGGATGAAATACCATCATTTGCAAGAATGTGTGCTTGAAGGTACCAGATAGAGGTCAAGGGGGTGAGGAAGGCATTGGTCAAGGGACACACAATTACAGCTAGGAGAATAAATGATCAGGGGACTGTGCTTCAAGAACACAGTAATTAATAACTATATATCACTTTCCCTGTCTCCTGGCAACCACTAATCTCATTCTGGTAGGTGGATTAGTCACTTCTCAATACTTCATGGAGATGAGATGAAATAATGTTGCTTTTATAATTGGCGCCTTCTACTTAGTGTCCTGTCTTCAAGTATCACTCATGGGGAAGCGTTCGACAGTACTGCACCTCTTTAGGGCTGTGTATTGTTCCAGTGCACAGATTAAAATGTGTCTATGCATTCGTCAGTGGGTGGCTATCTGGGCTGTTTCTGTGTACGGTGGCCTTGACTAGTCCTGGTGTGAACACGGGTGTCTGGGGAGTTTTGTGTATGGGCATGCAGTTCTCTTGGGCACATTTCTTGTAGTGGATGGACTGGTAGTATTTTGTTTTGTTTTTAAAGTGGCCTGGGTGGATAGGAACATGTCTGGTTTCTTCTGTAGAGCATGGGCCTTTGAAGTAACCCAATATACCCACCTCAAGAATGAATGCTGATGGCAATAAGTGAGGTCCAGGCTGGGAATGTAGCTTGGTGGCAGAATGCTTGACTAGCATGCATGAAGCCCTGGGTTCAATTCCTCAGTACCACAGAAACAGAAAAAGCCAGTAGTGCTGTAGCTCAAGTGGTAGAATGCTAGCCTTGAGCAAAAAGCAGCTCAGGAACAGTGCCTAGGTCCTGAGTTCAAGCTCTAGGACTGGCAAAATAATAATAATAATAAAAGTGGGATGCCTGGACAGCAGCAGAACACAAGGAGGACTCCACACAGGGTCCCCAAGGACACGTGGAAGGATTTCACGGGAGTCATGAATAAGATAAGGGGCAGGAGGTAAAAAAAGGAGCAAAGCTGGGAGACTGAGGTAGGATGACAGCCTGGCCTGGAAGCCAGCTTTACCTGAGTTCTGAGGCTAAGAGGCCACAGAGCGCGTGTGGGGCTGGGGCGAACCGCGTGTGAATACTCCCGGGATGGAGAGGCCTCAGCGGGGTCGGGCAGGGCTCAGACCTCGCTCGATTAGCTCTCAGCTCAGACCGTGACCTTAACCTGGCTGTGACTCAGTTTCCTGTGGCAAGCACACTACGTGCTCCATGCATGTTAGTTATTGCCCAGAACTATCACCATAACTTTCAGAAGTTACATCCGAGCGTCACGTGTTATGCTTTGGGTTAGGTGGACACACAAGCGTCTGGCTTCTATCAGTGAGAAATCCAGGCTGGACAGGATGTGATGGTCATTACCAGAGATCCTTCTTACCTTACACAATACTTCCATGGCGTACTCTTCTATTTCTGTAATTAAAAGTAACAATGAATGCGTGATCCATGAGATGTTTAAACATAGCAATAAACACAAAGGGCCTTTTCTTTTCTACCTGTACTAAGAGCCTTGTGATCTCACTTGGCTTTTTCACTCAAAGCTGGTGCTCTACCACCTGAGCCCCACTCCACTTATGGCTTTTGCTGGTTAACTGGAGTTGAGATCACCCGGTTTTAGTCAGGGCTAGATGTGGGATCACAGGGGCAGCTGGCTTGGCTCACCGTGCCAGGCCACCAGGGGCATTTCTGACCCTTAGAGGACCAAGGACTGTGTGATACCTGGCTGCTTCACATTTCTGACCCCAGGACTGGGTCCTTAACAGTTTGGGCTGTCGGGCATGATAGCATACATGTGTAATTCCAGCACACAGGAGGCTGAGTTAGAAAAAAAACAAAGTTTGTTCTGAGGATCCCTTTGAAGCTGACAAAACCAAAGAAGTGTGTCCACTAGAAAAACACTGATAAACCCACACGGGGTCTTAGCACAAAGGAGATCTCATGCTGTCCCTGGACAGCTGTTTGCTTGGGCCCATTGACACTGGGTTAATCATCTGGTCGACGATGAGCATAGAGCAGTCTAGGGGTATAGGAGGTTATTTGAAGGCGAGAATCAGTCAGAAATGGGAGGGTAAAGGAGAGGGTGAATGTGATCAGAGCACTTAAAAATCATAACAATCTGGTCACCAATCACCATAGGCCCTCTACCCCTAGGCACAAATCCTAAGAACTGGAAGTGCGGCCTGTGGTCCTCACGCCATACCTTCATGGGGCCAGCCACCCCCAAGGTGAAGGTGTCCACGCGTTTACCACTGGACAAATAGATATTCTTAGCAACATGCCTAGAAGACACGAAGCCAGGAGACACGGCCAGCCTCAGAGGACCACACACTGTAGTACGGCGCCTCTATGAGGTATTCAGGGGAGGACCACAGCTGCCCGGGGAGGAGTTATTTCCTACGTCCAGGCATATGAGAAGGGTCTGGAAGATGAACGGTGCACCTGCTCCCTCCCGCTTCCCTGGCCAGCGGCAGCACAGGCTCCCTCTGCCAGAGAGAGCTTCCTGCCCCTGGGTGTGGACAGCTGGAATGGGTGGGGCTGACACACTGACACGGGACACAGCAGGAGAGGGGGCGAGGCTGGCTGGACCTCGAAGGACATTTCTTGCCCCGGGGACAGCTGCAGGGCCGCCAACCCACCAGGAGGGGAGGACGAGTCTCCATAGCCTTTCATGTCCATCGCTAGAACCCGGTAACCTGCGCGGGCCAGGGCTGGGATCTGGAAAACAAGTGGTGGGGACAGGCAGCAGCGCAGCCTGGCCGCTGTCCGGGCTGGCCGCCTCCATGCCCAGCCCGCCCTTCCTCTGGATGCCTCCATCCCAGAGCTCCCTGGCAGGCCCAGGTCTCCGCACCAGGGCACTAGCCGGAGCCTGGCTGGGCAGCCTCCACGCATGGCGGTGGGGTTCATGCACTGCACCGATAGCACTGGACATTCGTTAGGAAGACTTCCCAGCCAGCGGCGAAGTGTCTTCCAGAAGTTCTCTGTCCAGCCTGCACCGGGGCCCTGGGCCTGGCGCGGCCGTGGGCGGGGCCTCTTCCCACCTAACACTTCTGAGGCCTTCAGTGGCAATTCGGAGTCAACGCTCCACTTTCGGATTCCAGCTGCTTTATCACCTTCCAGGCCAGGCCGCAAGGTCTAGCGGATCCCCTCCCCTCCCCCCGTCTGGGGGCTGCCTGCCTCCGTTTTCCTTACCTGGTACCTCCAAGAGAACCAGCTCTCAGGAAATCCATGGCAGAGGCATACAACGGGGCCAGAGCCCAGCTCGGCAAAATGAAGGCGAACCCCAGGCTGCAGGAGAGAGGGGGAGGGAGAAGAGAGATAAGGGGGGGGCAGTGATATCAGCATCAGGAGCCCAGGCTGGGGGTGGGGAGGGGAGAGGAGGAGAGAGAACTAACAAGTTCTCCTTCTATATCTGCGTGTCTCCCTCCTTCCTTCCCTCTCCCTTCCCTCTCTCTTCCTGTTGGAACTGGAGCTTGAACACAAGGCCCTGCATCTGCTGGGCGAGTGCTCTGCCCCTTGAGCCACCCACAGCTAAGCGTTCCTCTCGAGGCTTCGAATGAGCTCAGCTGAGCTTCTGAGCAGCCGGGCATCTGGGCAGCACAGCTGGGGCTGCCAGCTCTCTCGATCATGGAACATGACGGTGCCAAGGCCTGAGCCCGGCATCTGTACTTGGCATTTCATTTACTCCGTAGCAGGAGCCCAGGGGAAAGACAGTGACCAGCTCGCTTCAGAGCGGTGGGCACCGCAGCTGAGTGAGGAGAAGCTTGACTGATCTTAGCAAGGTTGATCTTAGCCAACGGCAGGGCCCTGGCTCGGCTTGGAATCTGCCTGCTTCCTAAGCACTGTCTCATCTTGCTCTGCTCACGAGCTGATCCATAGCTTTTGGCCCATTTGAATGGAGCAAAGACAAGGCAAGAAAGATCCCACAGTGAACCCCTAGAGACTTCCCGTCAGAAGCTGCTGGGCCCAGAGTTAGGGCCCCGCCTGACATGCGCTCGACCTAGCCCTGGCCCGACCACTGGGCACTTAAGAGTTTTTCCCTCCCGTCATCCTCACTGTGAGTTCCTCGCTCATGCCTGCGCCCCTCCCACCCAGGCCAGGCCCGACACAAGGAAAAGCTCAGGAAAAACTGCTCTGCCAGAGCACAAAGCCAGCTCTGCCCAGGCTGCAGAGCCCTGGCAGACCAGGGCCACACTGCTGTATACAATGTGATACAGGGGCCGTGTCCATCAGTGTTTGACGACTGAGACTTGGGGGAGATACTCTTTGCTGTTTTCGCAAAATAGTGGGCTTCCTGTGCCCCCGCGCAAGTCCCTCTGTGTGCACCAGCAGACAGCGCTCAGCAGACTTACCTTCACGGTCACGTACCCGTGGCCCACGTCATTAGGACTGCAGGGGACCGGCAGGGGGGCTGCGGGACTGAGAAGCTGCAAACACCAATGGTGAGGTGAGAGACAGGACAGCGTCTTCCTGCAAGCGTTCCCCAAGGGGAGCTGGCCAGCCCAGCCTCCCTTCCAGAGTCCTTCCGGCCCTGCCCGCCCTGTGTCCCTCAGTGGAGCGCCATGACTCGGCTCTGGCCCATGGGATGTGACAGGAATCATGGCCTCCCACCTTGGCACATGGAAACCCTCACACGATGCTCTACGGTCCACAGGAACCCCAGAGCCTCCAAGCTAAGGTGTCAGCTAACCACAGCCCCCAAAAGATCACAGCCTATACCATCCTCCTTACTTAAGTGAAACATTTTGGTCTGTAACAGACACGGTGGTACATGCCTATAATCTCAGCACTCAGGAGGCTGAGGCAGGAGGATGGTGAGTTGAGGCTGCATGGCAAGACCCTGGCTTTCAGCAGGAGAAAGGAAAAAGAAAATGAGTTTTTTGTTCATATTGTTGGAAGAGCAAGGCAGGGAGTCTTTGAACAGCCTTCTCTTATCTTGGTTCCCTGACTGGAACAAAATTTAGCTCACACTCCTGCTGTCAGATTGCGCTTCCCGCTACGGACTGGAGGGGAAATGGGAGGCTCTCCAGGGTCCACGCGCTCAGTGCACCACGGGCGATGAGCTGCCAGCACAGGTGCACGTGAATCACACACAAAGCACTGACAACCTAGACCCCGGCTTCCCACCTGCTGCTTTCTCTATATAATCACACAAGCGTGGCAGGAAGCCAGACCCTGCACAGACACAACGTTACCTGCAGCCCGGTGACTTTCTCCAGCTCTCTCAAGGCTGCGTCGGTGTCCTGGACATGAATGGTGGCCATTCCCAAATCACGGGCCGGCTTCAGATTGCTCCCAAAGTCATCCAGATAAACAACCTGGACCCCAGACAGGAGGGCTGTCAGCCAGGAGAACGAAACACATGGAAACTCACACAGGGACTGCTTCATAATGAGACAGAATCCTTCTCTCCAGAACCACTTACTCTCTGACCTCATGTCTGATTCTGAAATAAATTCTGGTTACTAACGATTTTTTTTTTTAAGAAAAGGAAATAAGAAAGAGAACTTGAAAGTCACAGCGCAGATACGGGTGAGGTTATTTATAATCTTGGAAGAGGGCAGCTCACAATCTCCAACCCAGGAGCCCAGGGCTTGGAGCACTGTTCCCACCGGACTCCAGGTGCTGAGGACAGCAGCCATCCCAATGGCATGAAGGGAACGCTCCTGACACTGAGCACAGAACGACCCCCCGGGGCAGAGGGCAGGGTTTGTTCTGCTCAGCTCGTAGGCGGGGCCAGTGGAAGGATGGACAGAGTGAAGAAGAGGGATTCATTTTGGTTCTATCACCTTTCGAAGGTTAGCGTAGTAGTGTCTGAGGAAGCAAGTGTTCTAGCATAGTGATCTCAGGGGACATGGACAGACAGACCCTCAGGCGGCATTCTGCTCCCCACTTTGGTGGGGTGACCTTCTTGAGCCTTGTGTTCTTGGCAAAGTCTCCCAGGGTTTCTATTTCTTCATAGGTAAACTGAGATAGTTTGTCTAACACCTTTTGTGATTTCCATTTTGACCAGAGTCTTCTAAGAGATACACAAAGGGGACTCGTGTCCACCTGTGGGAGAACTTTCTAGATGGAAGGTTGGGTAAAAATCCTTTAGAAGTCCTAGCCTGGAGGAACAAACCTAGAACTTCCTGCCAGGCCCTAAATGTATCCCAGACGAGAACGTCAATGTCTCTCTGGTTGCCATGATGCGGGCGGTGTTTCCCGCTCTGAGGAGGCATCCACGCACCTCACCGGGACTGGCCTTCACGGTGTCCAGCAGGAACCTGTACATCTGCAGCTCGGGCTTCATCATCCCAACCTGACACGACTCTACCAGGAAGTCAAAGTGCGGGCTCAGCTCACTCATCAGCCGGGCCACGCTGCCTCTCTCAGTGCCGTCATCCAGCCAGTTGTTGGTGAAGATGCCAGTCGTAAACCCTGTACAGAAAGGGGCGGTGAGCACCCAGTGTCAGAACTTGGCCCCGAATGCTCAAATGCCCCACATGGAGCCAACTTCCAACAGACAAGTCGTATGTCCACCCATGCACAGCACAGATCAGACACAGATCTGAGGGTGAGCTGTGGCTACAATCTTTTCTGGGGGGAGAAAGGGCAAGACTAGGATTTAAACTCAGGATCTTGTGCTTATTAAGCAAGCACTCTACCATTTGAACCACTTATGCTTTGGGTTACTTTTCAGATACTTGTGGTTTTGCCCTGGACTGGCCTCAGACAGAAATACTCCTCCTGGCCTCCCTCATGGCTGGAATGATAGGTGTCTGCTGCCACTACGACAGGTCTCAATCACTTTTTGTTGGGTTGTCCTTGAACCACACTCCTTTTGATCTCTTCATTCTGTGTTTCTGAGATTATGGGTGTGAACTACTCGGCCTAGCTTGGATAGAACCCTTAATCACTTGTACCTTACTGTTCTCACACTTGTCAGCTCATTTGATCAAAACTGTAGTTGTTTAAAATGCTTTCTTTTTCACCTGTGCTGGGAGATTGAGTCATTTGGGTTAGTAGTTGTACTTGTGCTGCTGGAAAGACAGGATTCTGTTTATAAGGCAATCGTGGGTCTAAACTGTTTAATCAGATAAAGTCCAGCTATTTTCCAGGGCATTCTAACAGCACTGTCTTCTCCATTTGGTAATCATACTTAGTTTTTCTCTGCCCTGCCCTGGGTTCTGGTGCAGTCAGGAGAGAGTGGCAGTGTGCAAATCTTACCTTTCTTTCTGAGGGCCAGCGCTGCCTGAAGCATGGGCTGGTTGATGTTTCTTGAGGACACTGCCTGGCTAAAAATTTGACCTATGGAGAAATTCTCTGGGAGGTGGATTCCAGATGCTGCAGAGTGTTTCTTGTAGTTTTCTTCCATAAGGGGCACCCACTGTAAAAGTGACCCCAGGAGAATCATTAAAGGGTGTAATTCTCAGAGAATCCTGGGCGGTTCCCACGAGCTCCAAATGTGTGCATTTCGCAACCATGCAGTTCTGCGCCGGGGACTCACCCACTGGGAACGTCACATGGCTTCCCAGAAGACATGGACCAATGTTGTCCCTGGCTGCACCGTCCCTACACAGCCAACTTGGAAACTACCCACGTACCTTGGTCTCTGATTCAGAGCACTCCTAAGAGCACTGCCTCCTAAGAACGCTGTCTCAGTCTCTCCGGGTCCCTGACTCTGAAGTAGAGTTATCTAACAGTCCCAGTGGCCGCTCTATCCTAACTGAACTCCCCTGGCTGTAGAGTCCCTGGAAACGTTCTTCAGGGGCTTGACAATGGAATCTCTGATTGGCCCAAAGAAACCACAAACCGGTCCTAAATGTCACCTGGGAAGGCTGTAGGTCTTCTGATTGGCCCTGAATACACGACACACAGGGTGTATTGTACACAGAGTATACAGAGACTTACGATAGAATGTAGGAGTTGCCCTCAGCCAATGAGGAAACAGAAGCAAGCAAAGAATGCGTACAAGGGTGTGGGGTTGGGCCTGTACCTCGCCTCACCTGGGAAAATGTGATCTCTCCTTTCATGAGGCGGGTACTGAGGTCATCCGGCCCATCTTTCTGGAAAGTTTCACTCAGGAAACCTCTGGAAGACACACACAAAGAACCCATCAGTTTATCCACTGCCACGACAGTGGATAAGGTAGTGGATAAACTCCAGACACCATTTATATTCACAAACCACTGTGAGGAAGGCGCCTGCTTCAGCCTGGGAGAAGCCAAGGGGGCCGCCCAGCCTCTGCCCTGGCAGCTCACAACCTTCTAAAGGAAGGAAGGGTTTCTCCCTCTGGTTTCAATTGTGCGCATATAGTTTCTACTTTAGCTTCTTCTTTTTTTTCTCTCTTTTATTATTTTGGCCCGGCCCAGACTGGCCTTGAACTCACTAGTCTTCCTGCCTCAGCCACTTAAATGCTGTGATTATAACTTCCTCTGATCTCTCTTTTATTTTTAAGCTTCCCTTGTTAAGAGCTAAAACAGACCTTTCCCCAGATTGCTACACTGAAGTTCTAATCCTCTGCATTTGGAGACAGTCTTTAAAATGGTAATGAGTTGGGCTGGAGTCAAAGCTTAGTGAGCACTTGCTTGCTTGCTTGCTTTGGTTTGATCCTCAGCACCCACACCCCACTCCCAAAAAAAAGAGGCAAGGAAGTTAAATAAGCTCACTGGCACTGGTGCTAATCTAAGATGTCTGGTGTCCTTGTGAGGAAAGAAAACTTGGCCATAGATCTGGAGGGAGGACACTGTGAGGGGCCAGCCCCTGATCTTGGACTTGTAACCCTGGACTGTACCTTACAAGAGACAACCAGTCCATGTTATTCCTCATGGCAGGGGCCATAAATAAATACTCTTTGCTCTTATCTACTGTAACTGGCAAACTAGTTGCAGTTATTCACCATCCTTGAGTAAGAGAACAAATATCTCCACCCTGGCATTTTGCTTTCTGATAAACAGCCAAGGACCTTTACACTGGCCTTACCTTCTCACGGGTAAAATGATCAGCTCTGGACCAAATAGTAAAAAGACATATACTTGCTGGGTGCTGATGACTGATCCCTGAGCTACTCAGGAGACTGAGATCTGAGGATCTCATAGTTCAAAGCCAGCCCAGACAGAAAGTCTGTGAGACTTATTTCCAATTACCCAGCCAAAAGCTAGAAGTGGAGCTATGGTTCAAGTGATAGAACACTAGCCTTGAGTGAAAAAGCTAAGAGACAGAGCCCAGACCTTGAGTTCAAGCTGCAGTACTGGCAGCAAAAAAGAAGAAAGAAAGAAAGGAAGGAAGGAAGGAAGAAAGAAAGAAAGAAAGAAGAAAAAGAACGAGGAGGAGGAGACAGAAGAGGAGGAGGAAGAGGAAGAGGAGGAGACTGGGTGCTGGTGGCTCATGCCTAAAATCCTAGCTACTCAAGAGGCTTAGATCAGAGGATTTTGGTTCAAAGCCAGCGCCAGCAGGAAAATCTCCCTACAATTAAGCACCAGAAAACAGGAAGTGATGCTGTGGCTCAAAGTTGTAGAGCACTAGCCTTGAGTGAGAAAGCTCAGGGATAGTGCCTAGGCCCTGAGTTCAAGCCTCATGCCTGACATAAAAAAAAAAAAAGGAAGAAAGAAAGAAAAAGGAAGGCCCATTCCTGTTACCTGTGGCCCTGCCCAAGTTTCCAGTATCAGGAATGGCTCTGCCACCCTTTACCTTTAGTATTTTCTGGACAGCGCTTTATCAGGGTATGATTGCATGCCATCAGAATCACAGTCTCAGTGATTTGTATAAAGTTAGACTTCTGTAGACATTGTATGTCTGACTTGGGACATTCCTGCCCTTACAAGATTTCCACGCCACACACACCTGTCCTCCAGTTTAGGAAGGAATACATGATTGGACCCAACAATCTTTTCCTGGTACTGGGTATTCCCTTTTGGCTTCCTTACTCAGAGCTGGTACTCTACCACTTGAGCAATGCTTCCTGTTTCAGGGTTTTGCTGGTTGATTAAAGATAAGAGTCTTGAGGATTTGTCTGTCCAGGCTGGCTTCAAACAGGAATTCTTATATCTCCTGAGTAGATAGGTTGGGTTATACAGAGGTGAGCTACCAAGTGCCCAGCTTCAACCATGTTTAAATGAGCACCTAAGGTATATGAGACTTTATGCTACATGCTGTGAGAGAAAAATGAAAAAATACATTCTGTTTCTAAGAAGTTCACAGGAAACAAGGGAGATGACATAGAAAGCCGCCATGGATGAATGAGATAGAAAACCTGAGGGTTTTTGCCTGGAGAATGGAGGAGTTAGGACTGGACAGGACCATCACTGAAGGCATACAAGGGCAGACAGGGATTTAGAAAAGAAGATGCAAGCCATGCTTGCTTCTCAGTGCCAGAACTAAGCTGAGAACCTAGGTCTGACAGCAGCAACCAGTGCTTTAATTTATGAATTAATTGTGGTACTGGGGATTACACTGCGTAGTCAAGTACTTTACCACTTGAGCCAAAAAATCAGTTCTTTCGCCTTTAGTTTAGTTTTTAAGATAGGGTCTCACTCCTAACTTTGCCCTGCCTGGACTTAAACCATGATTCTCCTGTCTCTGCTTCCCAAGTAGCTGGGATTACAGGTGTGAGCCACCATGCCCAGCCTTCATCCATGCTCTCTGAATTATCTATCTACAGCAGGACACCTGTGCCTTGTAGCCTCACAAATCACACTCATTTCCACATCGATGAAGTCACACGCACCAACAGACCTCATAGCTTGCTCGCAGATTGTGCCTTTTTCTTTTTAAAATAAAATTATTGAGTCAAAATGTAGTGAAATGACATTTGTTAAATATGACAACTATGACTTCTTGGAAATGAGTTCATTTTTCTTTTCCTCAATTCATTCCCCCCAACCCCCCCCCAAAAAGCCCCGCACTGGGCGTTCTTGGCTCTGAGGGGGCTTGCCCTGTTCAAGTGAAGTTTTCTGCCCAATCCTAATTGTTTAGAGTGTGGCTGGTTTGATCGTGGACTTCGGGCCGGCTTGATTTTGTTTCTCAGCTCTTGATGCATTTACTCAGCCTGGAAAGATTGCTATCGTGTTCTGAATAGCAGCTGGGGAGGTGCAAAGTCTTACTAAACCAGAGGTAAAAAGAGTCTAGGCGGGAGGGGGAGGAGAGAGACCCGTTCCAGCGGTGGTGTGGACAAGCTGGTTCCCTGCAAAGCTCGTTTCCACACCTGAGAAAACTGAGGTGGCTTTGGATGCTTTCATGAAACGGTTAAGCAGCCCTGCTGGCCGGGTGGGAGTGGCTCACGCCTGTGATCCTGTGATGGGGAAGCTGGGAGCTGGGGGTGGCAAAGTCGGTGGGATTCCTATCTCCAATCAACCACCCCACAGCCAGAAGTGGAGCTGCAGCTCAAGGGCCAGGGTGCTAGCCTTGAGTGAAAAACGCTCCACGACAGCGTCCAGGCCCTGAGTTCAAGTGCCAGGACAGGCTGCTGGCATTCTCCCCACCCCAGGTCCTCAGCCACTCCCACTACCTCTGGGGGGGGGCAGCCTGTAGCGCCCCCCAGCCCCGCCCAGACCTGAGCTCCCCCTGCCCCGAGTCCCCCCAGGAGAGCTGGCGGCTCCCCGCCCGGACCTGGCTGCCCACGAGCGGAGTCCCCACCCACGGGCCCCACTGCGGCCACCTGGATAGGGGCAGGCGCCACCTGCCCCCGCGTGGTCCTCCGGACGCCCCCCCTTCTAGAACTCTCCATGGGGCAAACCTCAGGATGCAAAACTGCCAGACTACCCCCCCCCCCGGTCACGAAGTCGGGGTGTTTCTCCTGGATATCCCCCCTCCCCACAGTTGGAACTCCCGCGAGTAGTTCTGCAATTTCCCACCCGCGCGGCGCCCCGCACACGCCGGGACGGGGCAGCGGCCACAGGTCTCCGGCAGAACTTCCACGCGACGCGCGCGCCGGCTCCGGGGTCTCCGGGCCTCCCGAAAGCCGCCGGATCCCGGACTCCGTCGGAGGCTCAGACCGGGCGATCAAGAAGGCAACGGGGCCACTGACGCGCGCCGGTAACGCAGGCAGGTAACCGCTTTCACCCTTCCCGGGGCTGGTCCCAGAGCGGGCGGAAGCCAAGGCCCCCGCCGGGCAGCTCCCGGCCCTCCCCGCGGCCCGGACCCGGCCGGTGGCGCGTGGGCCGGCTTACCTGGGCAGCGCCAGGGCCTCCTCGGCGCGGCGGAGGGCGCCCGCGACCGAGGGCAGCGCCAGCACCCCGTCAAGGTCGAACACGGCCACGCGCAGCGCCATGGCACCGGGCTGCCGCTTCCCACCGAGACACAAAGCGCCCCCGACTGCGAAGAACTGGGGCCAGTGGACGGCCGGACGCTGCGGGGTAGCCTTGCCCGGGCCAGCCCCGCCCACTCCCCAGCCCCGCCCCGCCCCGAGCTCGGCTTCGCCACGCCCACTCCCAGCCACGCCCACGCCCATTCGGCGCCAGCCCCGCTCTCCACCCCGCTCCGCTCCCAGGACACGCCCACAGCGAGACCTGTGGCTCGCCCCGCCCCTTTCTGGCCACGCCCCCTCCATGAGGGCTGGCGGTAATTAGGGAGTGCTGGGTTGGGGACTTCCGGTTTGCTCGTGGAACCACTTCAACCCTGGCTTGGACTGGATTTGGGGGCCGGGTTTATATGGGTCCTAAGGAGCACACACGGGAGTAAAACTCGAGCTGTGCTTACTGGGGGGCTGGGGCCAGGTCCTCTTGGTTAGGTCCCGAGTGCACTGTCCTGCCTGGGGTGATGGGGGCTTCCAGCCAGGCCTAGGTTGGGATACGCTGCCTCCGGACAGGTCACGCCTGGTCCTGAACACCCAGAGTCTCGCCTGGCCCCGGGGGTAAGGCAGGAGTCAGTCCTTCCCTCCCAGGCTCTAGAATCCTCCCTCATCTAAGGCTTCTCCACACAGCTTTCCTTCTGGGGAGCAGACTTTCCAGACTTTCACCTCTCCTGGGCAGGCCTGGAGGAAGGGAGGGAGGCCTGAGTCCCACAAGTAGGGGGAGGGAGAAGCAGACAGACAGACAGACCGCAGAGGGGGGAGTGGGGGTTGGGAGAGAAGGGGAGGTGGGGGACAGGTTGGGCAGGAGATACAGGCAGAACCAGGAGAGGGGGGGGGTGACAGAGAAAGAGACAGAGAGAGAAACTTTTGTGTCTGGCAGCTTTGGGTCCTGGCTGGCGCATTTAGTAAATGCATAGCTTGCTGCCTGCCTTTTCCAAAAGGTCCTCATCTTGCTTGTAGAATAAATGTGCTTGTAGAATAAAGTGCAACAACCCCCCCCACCATACTCCAGTCTTTTAAGGCTTAGAATCAATTTCCCTTTTGTACACATTCTACCTGATATTAAACCTGCCTAAAACTGAGTGAGGTTTGTTTTTAATCACTGACTTCCACACGTGGCTCATTTGTATTTGGAAACGCTGGGCGGCGTCCTGCTGGAGGCCTGAGCTTCGCTGTGTTGAGATTACCAGCAGCTCCAGGATTAAAGGCAGGCCATGGCCTAGTGCTCCCATTTGCCCAGAGAAAGGCTCTGGAGCACTCCCCCCGCCCCCCCCCCCGGGCTGTGGGGGTTTCTCTGTGTTTAAAGGTAGAAGCATATATTAAAAGAAGGGAAGGGGGCTGGGAAGGTGGCTCAGTGGTAGAGCGCTTGCCTTGCATGCCTGAGGCCCTGGGTTCGATTCCTTAGCACCACATAAGCAGAAAAAAAGCCGGAAGTGGCGCTGTGGCTCAAGTGGTAGAGCGCTAGCCTTGAGCTGAAGAGCTGAGGGACAGCGCCCAGGCCCAGAGTTCAGGCCCACGACTGGACCCAAAAAACAAAAACAAAAAAAAAAAAGGAAGGGAAATAGTAGACGTCTCAAGAATTTGGTGGTCTCAAAGTTGAAGTTGACTTTTTTTTTTACAAAAGAAAATAAATTGCACCATGACCTATATTGAACTTAAATTGCACCATGACCTATATTGATTTTAAACCTGGAACATGGACTTTGCTTACAACTCCAAACATGCATATGTAGCTTCCTCCCCCAATTGTTATTATAAAAGTGATGTGCAGAGGGGTTATAGTTATATGTTACTAAGGAGTACATTTCTTTCTTCCCTTGCTCTCTCCTAGTTTTTTCCTCCTTTCTCCATACCAGCTTCTTACTCAACCCCTTTGAACGGACTCAACCTGGTGACTAACACAGATCTGTCTGTCTCCTCCCACCTCCAACATCTGTTCCTTCCAGGCTGCTGTGGTGTGCCTAAGTTCCCTTAGAGGCCATGTGTTAAAGACCCCACCCGCCTGCCCATGGCATTATTGGGGAAGGTGGAGCCTCCTGGGAGGTCTTCCTGCCCTTGGGGGTGTGCTCTTGAAAGGGGTGCGGATAGGCCATTCTTTTCCCTGTCTCTTTTATCCTGGCAGAAAGGCAGATGGTTTTGCTCTGTAATTCCACCAATGACAAAATGTCTCTGCTCAAGCAAAGGGTCAACCAGTCATGGTTTTCCAACACTAAGTGGAAAGTAAGCCTTCTCTGTTTACAAGCTGATTATCTCAGGCGTTTGTTACAGTGATAGAAAGCCAGCACACCCCTGTTAAGTTCCATCCCTATTCACTTGGTTGCTCAGGCCAAAGAATGTGGACTTGCTTCCTGAACCCTGGCTCCCCTCCCGGCTCTTTGAACTAAGTTCTAGTGGGCAACAGCAAACTGGGACAGAGGTAGCAGCTTCTAGTTTAAGGGTGTTTTCTTTCTTAAAGGTGCAGACTAGAAATGAAATTTGTCTTATTTCTTTCAGAGAAGTTTTGAGATTTCTTTCAGATTCTCTGAAAGAAGTAAGACAGACCAGGTCCCTGGTCTTCCATATATAATCATTTTTCTTCCCTTTCTGTTTGAAATATTTGCAGTGACTTCTGTTCTTGCATTTGAATTCTGAGTGGTATTGTTTATACATACATAGATAGGTTTGTATAAGTAGCATAGAAGAAAAACATGACCTGGGGACTGGACTTTATCAATCTCCGTTTGGAGAAGAAAAACCATAAAATGTGGAAATATAGAACTTTGCTTCTGTGGAAGTCATCTTTGAATGAGACTGTCCTTATGCCGCAACACGGCCTTGTGTTTGTTCCAGAGCACTTGGCTAATGACTAGCTGTGATCAGGAATAATTTATGATACCTGTGCGTTGCTGGACTGAATTACTTTAGGCAGAGATGAAAGGTCTTGATGACACAGCACCACACTCTGCCTTTTCTTCTGGTTAAGCCATAGGTCACGCATCCCTCCTGCTTGCTGCTGCCCAAGATAGAAAGAAGAGCTCCCTTGGCTGGGCTGGGAGAACTAGATAGCATTTTTCACATAAAAATCCCAACCCTCACATCTACTAATTGTAATATGCATGGAGTATATTTTAGACAATTCATGAACTCACAAAATCTGGCCCATAGTGCAAATTCACAAATGATGCCTCGCCTTGATCACGGAATGTGTAATGAACTCACAGTGAGTTCATTGGGATTCCTGGCATTCCTATCTCCTGTTCGTCTTTGGTTTCCTGGCCCAGCTTACAGAACTCTTAATTTACGCTGAAAATAGCAAGAGGATTTCACTGCTTCATCTCCCTACTGTAGGGTGTTTGAACTGAGTCCAAAGTTGCCTTCACCATTTGCTTAGGTCACATTCTGACATTTGCCTTAAAAAAAAAATCTTTGTTATTATGCAGGTGATATACACAGAGGTCACAATTATGTGAATCTGTTAATGATCACATTTCTTTTTGGACAATGTCACACCTTCATGTTTTCTTTTCTTTGGTGGTTAACTGGAGGTAAGAGGCCCATGGACTTTTCTGACGGGGCTGGCTTCGAACCTCAGTGCTCAGCTCTCAGCTTTCTCAGGAGCTAGGATTGCAGGTGTAGCTACAGACACTTGCACTTATTAAAAAAAATTCTAGGTACAAGTTTTAGAACAAGTAGCAGAAAGTGATGTTTTTTTTCAAAGCATGATTATGGAAGGCTGAGCACGCAACTCGAATTAGGAGCCAGACGCTAGATTGGGGGAGGGGGTTCCCAGCATTTATACTCCTTCCAAATATTCCAGAAATGCCCCCCTCCCCTTGAAAGTAATAGAGCTCACTGTCCACACAGAAGTCCAATGCCAGATTCCCACACCCTCTGCCTTCCTTGTATCTAGTTCATGGGTAATGGCATTCATCTGTCCTGACCTTTGCATGGGGAGCGGTTGACACAAACAATCAGAGCTGGTTGAGAATTAATTGTGGCAGGAACAGCAGCAGGAATGGCTGGGCTCTGGGGACATTGGTGCCTGCAGTCCCTTCCATCCTGCAAAGTTTTACATACAACTCTGCAGCACCAGGAAGCCAACCGGGCTGAGCCAGGCCAATGTGGGCTAAGCTGTGAGCCAAGCTGGTCCAAGCTGATCCAAGCTGGCCTACCTGGGTTGAGCAGGGCCTAGCTGGGGTGAGCTGGGCCTAGCTGGGTGAGCTGGGTGGAGTTGGGCGGAGCTGCACTGCAGTTACCCACGGGGGTAACTGGATTGGGAGCCCAGCTGAGGCCTGGCCCAGGGTCTCACATTTGCTGCTGCTCTCCAAGCAGATCTGCCATCTTTGTCAGTACTGCTGAGAGCTACCCACCTCTGTTTACCAAGATAATTTTCCACTTCACGTAGGTGATAGATTTTCATTGCTTGCGATCAAGAATCCTGGTGAATGGGATCCATGGTACTTTCTTCTAACTTCATTTTTGCATATGTAATCAAGCATGCACAAATACAGGGCATTCTATTGCTGCAGTTGCTGTTAAAAGTTTACAAGCTGAGTTGGGAACACACACCTGTAACCCCAGCCATCAGAAGGAAGAAGGCTACCTAATGCCATGTCTCAGCTCTCTCCCTTCCCCCCAAAGCACCTGCCTTCCACCCCTTCTCCTTCCTCGTTCAGATTTCTTTGCCTTTGTTCTTCTATCATGAGGATTTATCTTAGCTGTTATGTAAAGATATTGTGGTATGTATTTCCACATAATTTGGTTTTAGAATTCTGTCCTCTTACATAGTGAGTTCTAACATATAATTCAAAAAAACAGTGAAGGCCATGGGCCTTGACTTCCTAGTAACTGTGTGGTTTCTAAAACTTCCCATGCCTCAGTCTCCTCAGAGGTAAAAAGATGCTGGAAATAATGCTTTCTACTTCCCGACATCATACGGAGCAAATGAGTTCCTAAAACATAGTTACTTTTGTACATGTGCATGAGATTACTAGAAGATATAAAATACAAAAAAGAAAATCATGAAGCACACATTCCCACTATTCATCATTAGCAAATGTTACA